AAGGTGGTAGTGGAAACGGTGGCATTAAACCCTTTGGCACAGGGGGTGACACACACACACACTTATGATTATGCGTACTGAACTGAAAGCGGTGCCACACGCCAGCCTAAGTAAAAACCTAAGAAACCAGGGCAGGTAAAGTATGGTATGGTTCCAACCCACTCAAAGCCTACATGGCCTCCAAAGCGACAATGCACATCTGCCGATGAAGAACCGAAGCAAAGGCTGGACATCTTGTTCTAGCTACAAGCAGGGCCCACGATGAAATTTCTCAAGTAAAACTGCAGGACGTCATCAGGCGTCCCTGATGATATCCTAGGAGCGTATGAGGAGCTTCGTTGGATGGAGCCTCATACGTCCTCTCCATCCCCCTGCTGAAAAACAATTCAAAAGAATCCCTGTGACTACAAGGGGCACACTCATGGATATGCGTACTGACTTGACAGCGGTGCCACACGCTGGCCTAGGGTTCCATTTCCTATCAATCGCAGGTACGCTGGAGTGGCCAACTCCAGTATCCCATCTTGCTGCCTAGCTTTGTTAGACCAGGTCAGCAGCAAGATGCCTGGCCCCCCTGCTTGAAACAAAACGAAAACGAAAACAAATCAAAAGAATCCCTGTGACTACAAGGGGCACACACACACACACACACGCCTCCCCGAGGGGAGGCGTAAAGCAAAGGTGAGGGCCAATGTGCACGTGTGCGCGCACAAGACAAAAGAATGAAGACATGACAGGAGGACGAGACGGGACAAAGGTGCGTGTGGTTGAAGTGAAAGGGGAACCAAGTGCACAGGGACACCCGATGAAGCCCACCTCATTGTAAAGACCTGGGCGACCTGAAACCTGTGTTTAAAGGTATGTGAAAGTGCACGTACACACTAACGCCGGGACCAATGTGCACGCAAACGAAGAAAAGGATGAGATGAACAGACATGAAGACAGGAGGACATGAAAGAAAAGAGGGAACAAAGTGTGTGAAGGGGAAGGGATGAAAGGGGAACCAAATGGAGGGGACGAGAACCGATGAGACCAAACCTCATTAGAAGCACCTAGGGACCTGCCTCGTTTGAGTGTAAGCGCTGCATGGTCGCCTTGTGCCCTGCCGAAATGGCTGGCTGCTTTGACCGCTGCGGTCACGTAAAGGCATGAGCCAGTTTGGAATTCCAAAACTGAGACAAAATTAAAAGTTGAGTTCTTGTGGCATAAGCCATGTGCTGTCCGCTCCGGACACGTACATCTCCAGGCAGGGGAGATAACGACAGACACCCGTTCGACGGGTCCACGGAAGGCACTCTACGGGCTCATCCCGGGGAGAGACACACTTATGGATATGCGTACTGACTTGACAGCGGTGCCACACGCCGGCCTAGGGTTCCATTTCCTAAGAATCGCAGGTACGCTGGATGGCCAACTCCAGTATCCCATCTTGCTGCCTAGCTTTGTTAGACCAGGTCAGCAGCAAGATGCCTGGTCCCCCTGCTTGAAACAAAACGAAAACGAAAACAAATCAAAAGAATCCCTGTGACTAGAAGGGGCACACACACACAACACTTGATATTTCCTCCAGAGACCAATCTGACTGCTCACTGATAGTTCAAAGCAAAACAAACAAATCAATCACACCCTGTAGCTTGTGTGCTGAAACAAGAGAAACTGCCCGCACCTTGACATGAGGGGAGTAGTACAAAAGCTCGGCAGCAGCTCCAAAGAAGGCCTGGCTAACCCAACGGGGCCATGTCATCGATCCCACACTGGCCGCCAGCCAGCGGGCCACCCCGTGACTGATGGATGGCGTACGAAGACCCCGAAGCCAGGGCCGACTGGCCTGCCAACGACAGAAGAGGCACCTAGTCACCCGACGTCGGAGTCCTAGGATCTGCTGCCAATGAACTCAGCGTTTTCGCGTTGAAAGTCCATTCCCCTTGGAGCCTAGCTTCCGACGCAGTAAAGCAACTGGTTTGGGAAAAGGAGAAATATCAGACGCTGCAAATGAACATCTGCAAAGGGGATGTTCCCATGATCAAACACTGTAGACTGTAGTCAAGTTCACAAGCAGGGGACATCTTTGAAGAGGAGAGCACGTCCATCTTTTTCCAACAGGCTACGCCGCTACACGTTTCATTGAGACAGACTCACCAATCTTCATGGGATACCTCTTGACTCGAACAGAGAGTCTGTCTCAGATTCTGCTTCTTGTTGAAGAATGTTGAAGTTGACTCCTCACAACGATCCTCATTATATAAGTATATATATATATACATAGACCAAGGCAATTCTCCTCCTACCATACCCCGTCACCTCCCAAGAAGGCAGCGGCGTTGGCCGCTGCTCCGCACGGCGTGCCTGCACCCGTCACATGCAAGGGTTTTAGTCACATCTCTCATGAAGATCATCTCTAACCTCTTGCTCACTGGGTGCAACGATGACACTACGATATCGTCGATTCTCTGATCCTCCAGCAGTTTCAGGGCAGGACCGTGGTACCCTACGATCCCGGTCCCACTCCACTCCACTCAGCCGAGGTTCTCGAACCTTCCGAGAGGCCACCACTCCCATGTGTCCCGCGTCAAACTCCTCACGGATTTGGCAGAGACCCTGTGACGGAGACTAGTTCATACGGTGTCGGACAAGGAAGGAATAGAAACGCAAATTCAGTCATGACAAATGGGGCTGGGCAATCTATTCTTTTCAGACGGACCCTGACTGGTTGCCACCGATTGTCCCGCATGAGACCGGGGCAGGCTCCCATCACTGGTTCTGCTGGAAGTTGGGCGTAGCGAGGAGTTTGCAAAGATTTCAATGCAATCCAACATTGTTACATTTCTGTTCATGGTTGCATAGTTTGTGGACATCTGGGCGTGGCTCAAACATGGGGGTTTGAAATGCACAAGCAGCACACGGAAAAAAAGTTATATAAAGTGAAGATCGCAAGATCATCTGCGAACCCTATTCAAAATTCTTGGAGCCAAAGGCATTATCCTTCTTCTCTGCCCATCTGGACTCCAGCAGGGCAAACCAGTCTACAAATTGTGCAGAGCTCCTCTACACCCATCTGCTCCAGCTCTTTTTGCTCTGGGTCCACAGGAAGGGGCTGCTGTAGCAAGTCCTCGGCAGGGCGACAAGGTGGTATATAGACTATCCTTGATGATGACGAAGGAGCCCCCATGAGGCTTTTATGCAATCTGGGCATATGAGTACGTGACACCTTTTCTGAACTGGAATCCTGTGTCCTTTGTGTCCTTTGTTTGAAGCGGAGCGCCTAAGAATCCGCAACAGACTCGGCATAGGCATGGTTTGACATGCTGATTGTATACTTAATGATGCAAGAAGTGTTTGCAGTATTATATAGCATCTTTTGCATCATTGCTATTTTTGAGTTCCAACCGACTGTGTGGAGGCACTGTGTGATGATATAACGAAGAGGTGACTTGTGGGCATAGCGAGTCTACATTCGATTGTGGGTTGGTGTATGACTGCTTTTGTGCAGGTGGATGATTGTATGCCCTTGGTGGATGTGGATGATTGTATGCCTTTGGCCTTTAGAATCTCCAGCAACATGAAACATATCGCAAATGAGTGCTTCATTGCCAAGCAAGACCTGGAACCCGAACACCCACCCCTGGTAGGTTGACCTCCCTGGTCGTCCGGCTCGTCCGCTCGTGGCACGAACCCGCCTGGAAAGCCTGCCGCAAGTCTGCGTGATCATCGTCCCCTGCGCGGATCGGCTACTTGGCAGATGCATCCATGCGGTGGCACCACATGTACTATCTGTTTGGCAAGTTGAAATTCCATGCTAGCTGTTGTGACCAGCCAATTGTTCCTCCAATGTTGTGGAGAAACCCCATGGCAAGCTTCTCTTTATTGATCATGATACCGTTCCCACTTCCAATCAATTGATCATTCAGAGCTGGCCCCATTCGACTGAGAGTTTGCATCTTTCTGCATGCTGCAGGGTAGTAGCTTGTCAGGGTGTTTGGTCCATCTCACCATTTTGGCCAGACCAAAAGCTTGACGTCTTACTGTATAACTGGAAAACAGTATAACAGACCTTTGTGGTGGTTCTTTCAGCAAAACTACTGGTTTGTAGAGGACGGAGTACTCTTGCAAGCAGTCGTTCTCGACCACGTTCACCTCGTCTCCACCCGGCCTAGATCCCTTGGATCAATGTGCCGCACCCGGCGGTCTCCGGTCACTCCCTTCGGCCAGTGCTGCAGGAGTCGTCGGCGAAGGAAGTCCAGGAAGGTGCCTTCCACGTGGCGTCGGCTTGGCCATTTGGGGCCACGGGCATTTCAGCCATTTTGGTAAAATGGAAAGACCTCCCACTTGGTTGGGGAGAGGTCCCATCAAAACGACAAACCCTTTTCGTGTCCCCATCACCGTTCAATTTGGACTGGGCCTCCTCATGTCCACCATGTCATAGGCATGTCTGGTCATCCGGTTTCCATGACGCCAAGTGTAGCGGAGGAAAGAAGTTTAAAGAATGGAATTGTCCTCTGGACAGGTTTCTCAGTGCCTTCTTGAAGGCACCACACAAAAGATTTCGGCTTGCTACAGTCTTCAGACATTCCTTGGCTTGTCCCGCTTCTTCGAAGTCATCCTCTTTGGTGACACAACGTGCATCATGTATAATGTCTTGCGGCCACGCCTGTACCATCATCAGGATCTCGCTCATCCTGTCAGATCAACGATACCAATTGCTTCAGGGACAAAGTTAAAGAAAAACAAAATCACTTGTTGAAAGATCTCCTACCTTCAAAAAAGCACCTGGTGATTCCAGATCGAACCTGGCCCTCTTGGTGGCCGCCTCCCCCCCGGAGTCGCAGCAGTTGCTCCTCGGAGTCGCCCTCCGAGTCCGGCTCCAAGGACTGCAAGCACTCGTGGGGCCGACACGGCTCACTGCCAGGCTCCTGGCTTCGCAAACCTACTATATAACTAGCAAGGCCTTCAATGGCCTCGCACCTCATAGCGATGGCCACCAACGTAGTAACAATGGCCTTCAACCTACTAGCGATGGCCTCCAACCTACTATATAGCCATTATGGCCTCCAGCAATTAACTGGACCAACCTTACCGAGCACAACTAGCTCCCAAACCCGCCCACTTGGCCCACTTATATGGCCCACTAAGCCCACCAGTCAACCCACTGGAAAATAGCACACGTTTTTTTGGTGAATACGAGTTCCGGGAATTCACACCTCATGGAGCTCCACTTCGCTGGCTGGCACATGTGCCTCCAGAACGATCTCCAAGCGACGGCCTGCCACGCTGGCACCGTGCGGCTGCCGTGGCCATCGGGGAGGTGAACCATAGATGGCCCGTTCACTCACTGTCTCTGAACCAAAAACCCGGCAGCTTTATGGTGGACCCCTTACAGACATTTACAGACAGTATATTAAGCAGAAGTGACTCCCTGAAGCTTACAGGCTTACAGGCACTCCCATAGCGGTGGACTCCGGGATCTGACAGGGTTCCGGTGTGACGCTCGACATGCGACGGCATCAATGTGACCGGTGGAACAACGGCATTGGCGCAAACACACCAATTACGGTTAATTCAAGATGCACATGAAAAAGGATGATACAGAAATGTATAAATCCACAGCAAACACGAACATGTGGAATGAACGGAGTGACTGTTGATACATGCCAATTGACTCCAACTTAGGCAGTTTGTCAAACTCAGGCCTGCTTTCAAAGAGCTCAAGTGTCTCAGAAGCCAATCATCGAAGAGCTCGATGCCTCACATGCGTTGCCAGGGGTCATCCTGATGGTGAGATTGAGATTGCTGCTGGATATGGTCTAAAAAGGACCCATAGGTTTCAGTTGATGTTTCCTTTATATATCCGGACCCGGTAGACCAAACCCACAGCAAGAAGCCTCCCACATTCCTTTGCAGACCAAGACCTCCAAGAATCAGTCTTCAACACCTTTGCCTGTTACCCTGGCGGGCGGTGCCCCAGCCAGACATGCAAAACATTGCATTCAAAGAAGAAACACTGTAACAAAAGAAATTGGCATCCAACACTTGAGACCATCAAAATAACTAGAAGTGACCAAATCTTGACCTTGGTCCCTCCAGTCCAAGACATATCAAGTCTGCCAGTTCGCAAGAGTCCCAAAAGGGTCTCCTACCATGAGCGTTCCACTCAAACAGCACACTCCGGCCAATTACTGAAAAGCCAAGGGAAAATGACTCTGTGGTAGGAGATTAGCTTACTCTTGAAAGGAAGACATTCTGCACCATCTCCAGTTTCCTGTACTGCCAGGTTCTGGAGAAACTAGACAAAGAAGCATGCGAGACCCTGGATACCCAAACCTCCAAACATCAATGAATCAACAAGTTGGAGAAAAGACTGCTAACATCTCCCTTCCCCAGTTTCGCCTCCCAATCCCGGCCTTCAGCACGCCTCTCTTCTTTCCTTTTGGCAATAAGTGCATCCTGAGACCAGGTCAAATCCAAAAAAGAAAAGTCCAAACCAAACAAGGTACTGAACTCGATGTTGTTCTTGAACTGTTCAAACTGAAGGGGACTGACTCCCAAGAAATGATCAACCAGGAAATCCTATTGTTTAGGAGTAGTTTGTGGTCATCAAGGTCAAGCCGGTCTATGAATCACAGCAATCTTGAAAATGAAAATGAAACCAATGTCCAATGTTGTCTGTCACCGTCACAGCCAAGGCACATGCTCTTCTACAGGTATCTCCTCTCCCTTCAGCCGTCTTTTGTTGAAGTCCTCCGCCTTATGATCAAGAGTCTTGAAGGTTTGAAGAGAAGAGTGTGATGTTCGATTCAAGATCAACTGCGAAAAAATGTATACTAGTACTTTTAAGGGTTAGGTCGAGATCGACTCAACGTTTTTGGAAAAGCCGGTATGTGGGTGCTTCTCCATTCTCCTGCATGTGTTCAACAAGTCTGCTCCAACAAATTGTCTTTGGCGCCGACAGTTGGTTCTTGGCTTTGTTTGCTGAGCTGCAGAGCATGGCAACAGTTGGATGCCTACTGCTCTCTTGAACGTTCCAACCCCAGGTGCCTAGCCCCCGCTGCTTCCCAGTGCTTCCAGCCTCCTTGTCTAAGTCTGACCACTCAAAGACTTGCAGCTTGGGAGTCGAGGTCTCGGCGGAGATATCTGTGAAGTCACCAGCTCAAAAACTCTGGTGTGCCAAGAAAGCCCTGAAAGCCATGTCCAGTGCAAGTTGTTGCTAAACTACTGGGAGTTGTATGAAGTGGCACCAAACTGGGTAGACCATACTGACTACAAACTACTAAGAAATGGAGCAACCCTGGTAAACAGCACAAATTCCTTGAGATGCAGGACTCCTTCCTCAAACATCCTTGAGCCCAACCAAGATCTGCAATTGCAGTCCACCCTTCGAATGCCAAACCAGAGGGTGAACTTCTTTCCCAGCTCGTGAGCCTCTCTATTTTCTTGAAAGTCATCAGCTTGGATGGGCCCTGCGACCACATCCTTCCGCCCAAAAAATAGATCTCTCCCAGGCAAGGCTCCGCCACTGGCGGCGGCGAGTGAGGTCCCAGCCGCGGGCTCCGGTGAGGCCTGCCAGGGAGAAACGAGCTCAGCGGGTTTCTTGATAGGTTTGGATAGAGAGCGCGTATTTTGGAATAGAGACAACCCCTGGCCCAAGGGGTAGACTGGTCTATGTTCCTTCTGCCAAAGGGTCTTTGCGGGGTCTTCGTATTTAACACACACCCATATGCTTAGATGGCAAGCGAAAAAGTGTGAAAAGTATGCCTTGCCTAAGCGCTGTGTTTTCTTTTCCGCGCGATCAAACCCTTATTGGTTGAGTTGAGATAGACATTACTTGGGCACGTCGCACACGGAAACCTGATTTAGTGGCGTTATCAAGATTTTTGGTTGACCGGCTGTAGGTGGAAATGGAATAGGGACACCTTGCATGCCACAAGGATGAGTGGGCCATGCGGGGCCCTCATCCTAATCCTAGGGAGATTCGTTGCGGGCGATTCACTTGTTGCAGGTGTTGTTTTCTCCTTGTTCTGTTTTGAACCTTGCACTTAGACTCTAGACTTATGTTGGGCAATGGCAGCCATACATGACCAACCATCAAATATTGTTTTGCGAAAAAATTTAAAAAATAAACAAAAGCAAATGAACATGCAAAAGCAGCGCAATTTGCTTTGTTTTTGCATTTGTTTTGTTTTTTTCCTGGTACCACTGCTGCACTTATGAAAACTTTTACCCGTCAGCAAAATTTGCTATGCTCTCCTAGGGAAAAAGCGAATCCAAAAACGAAAAAATGCGAAAATGAATAATGAAGCCAAAAAATGTGGAAAAAAACGACAAACACGCACAGCTACATGTTTTGCTTTTTTGTTTGCTTTACCATGTGTTTCTTGTTTTACAAAATTATTTTAGTTCCTTGTATCTATGGCTGGCGCGCCCGAAATAACTCTACATAGACTCTAGACAGCTCCAAACCCTGTGTTTTTCCTGATCTTTGGCTTCCAATGCACTTGCCAATGATATGCATGTGTGTACACCGTGGATTCATAGGTTACCTGGCAGATTGAAACTGTTGACGCACTTCCATGAAATGTCTGCATCACGCAGCCCTTTTTGTTGAGAGGGCCAGATGGCCTCGAAGACCTCCCTTGAAGGAGGGACCCCAACCAGAGCGTTGAAAAAGAGCAGCGGATCTGTTTTGTGCATTTGGTTTGGGACTTGTGTTTTTCGGTCATGTCCGCAGAAGGGTATCAACAGGTTATGAGCCCAAAACAAGCTACTTCTGCACCACCCCTGAGCTCGTGCATGCTTCGTCGCCGGCGATCGATGGAGCATGGGACTTTGCTGGCTTTGCCTCCACCAGAGGAGGACGCTGCAAGGGCCTCTGGGGAAGAGGCTGGAAAGGTGAAGGAAAGAGAAGGGGTAGAAAAAGATGAAAAGGGTTTGATGACACCCACAAGGTCTACGACAGGACCACCGGGTTTGGCAACGGGACCCACTACGGAGATGGAGGTGTTTCGTAGTGGTGGTTCCGAGCAAAGTATGAAAGAGTCGACTGAGCAACCAAAAGGTCGGCCGGTGACCCTTGCACCCCTGGTTCCGCCGCAGCCGCAGACGATGCCGCCGCTGTTCACGAGGGAACAGATGAAAGAAGCAAGAGCTGCCGCCCGTCTCGCACCGCAGGTGTTTGGAAAGGCACCACCTCCATCGTCCTCTGAAGAGCAGTTGGAGCTCCTTCAACGGCCTGCTTTCCTTCAAGGAGAAGAAGAAAGGTTTGAAGGAAGAAGAGGAGGAAAGAAGGGGGCTCAAGGAGGTTACGATGAGGAAGAAAGCCAAGAGCTCAGGCGATGTGATGATGAGGATTCAGAAGATCCTCGAGGCCGCCACCGAAGTCGCCTTCAAGAAGAAAAAGAAGAAGAGATCATGTGGCAATGTGGCGCTGGCAGATCTCGCAGGATATGAAGAAGCTGACAAGTCTATGTCAGGACCAACGTGAAAATGATCGCCTTCAACAGGAGCTCTATGAATGGAGGTTGGAGGACGCAGAAAGAAAAAGGCAAGCGGAAGAAAAGAAAAAAGAAAAGGGAGAAGGAGGAATGTCATGTCCCTCGAAGTTCATCGACGTTCAACACTCCCGAAGAAGCAAAGCCTGAAGCTCCCAGCGTTTTGGACATGTTGGGGAGTAGGGGACGCACTCCATGGTCTACCTACCCAGCTAGGTATGGAAAGGGGTCGAGATCTCAATCCAAAGACCCACCTCGAAAAGGAAGAAGTCCTTCGTATGGTAAAGGGTTCAAGGAGGATCCAAGATCGACCACCAACAAGCCTACAATGGGGGGAGCCAGGCCTTCACCGGAGATCCAGCAAATGGAGGTCATGGCATTGCTGGTTGAAAGTATGAAAGCCCTTCAACGTCAGATTTCTGAGGGGCGTGACAGTCAGGGCACGCCGCGGAAAGGACTGTAGATGGTCCCATGATCTCAAGGATGATCAACGCAGATGCTACTCCTGCGGCTCCACCAAGCATCTCGCTCCGAATTGCCCGACCAAGGATCCGTCGAATCCACGTCCCCACCTAAGGTGAAGAAGGAAAAGGAGGATGAGAAGGGAAGAAAGGAGGAGGATGAAAAGAGTGCAGGAGGAACCGAAGGCGAGAAGATGGATGAGCTGTTGGAAGAAGCAAACAAGATGCTCCGGATGATGAAAGACAAGGAAACATCGGAGGCAAAGATGAACAAGCTTCACCAACAGCTGGATGAGATTAAAAGAAGCATCAAAACCCTGAAGCTCACAAGGGTCCGGGAAGCGAAAATGGGGTCAACAAAAGAAGAAGAATCCTGTCTGCTCGACTCGGGAGCGACTCATCCTCTCAGACCTCTCGCCCTGACCGACTGCATTGACAGCCTGAAAAGGGTGTCAGTCTGCCGCACCACGCCATTGCTGATGACGGAAGCTGGAGTGATGGTCTCCACCAATTTGGCTGTGGAGCCAATTGTTCCCCTCGGCATCTTGGCGGGAGGTGGTTGCAGCATAAAAAAGAATGTCATGAAGGTGACTCACCCGAAGAAGGGTCCTCTTCCAATCAGCATTCAAGCTGGATGTCCACAAATTCCAAAGGCGTTGGCCCTCGAGCTCATCAAGGAGTATGAAGAAAGGGTCATTGATGTCAAGCAAGCTCAACTTGTGGAAGAAACACACCCGAAGAGGGAAGTGGAGTGGTTGTCTTCGCTGGTTGAAGGACATCCGACTTTGTCGATGTTGCCTGAGGCCATCAAGAAGTCCCTGATCCAACAGCCGGGGGGAGTGGGAAGACTTGCCTGCAAACCGGCATCAAAGAAAAAGATTGAAGGCCGCGGGCCCAATCATCCTCCACCTCTATGCAGGCGAGAAGAATGGCTTCACGCTCCAGAAGGCAATGGAAGAATACGGCCTTGGTTCTCGAACTTTGGAGGTGGATTTGAAAAGGGGGGAGGAGCACAACATGGCTTCAATGGACTCCAAGGCATACAAGGGAATGCTGAGGCTGGCACTGGATGGCGATCTTGCTGCTGTTGTCGGAGGCCAAATTGTCGGTCTCGCTCAGTTCTACGCCGCTACCCAGGTGGACCCAGACCAGTGCGTTCATGGGAAGAGCCATGGGGTACGAGCCAACTCACTGAAGAGGAGCTCAATATGTGTTTGGAAGATGACATCATGATGTGGCGCCAAATCTTCCTTTACCTGGTCGCCGAGATGTCCAGGAAGCTTCAAGAGGCAGTTGCCAATGAAGGTTCAAAAGAGAGGAGCCATGAAGTTCTCTTCTTGCTCGAGCAGCCGTCCTCCGGTCGCCGGAATGTGTCTCCTTTTGGCGCACCAAGGAGTGGCTGTCATTGAAGGCCGCTGCCAAGTTGGATCTTCACCAAGTGAACCAAGGAGACTATGAACCTTGGAAGGATGAGGTTCCTGTCAAGCCCACGTCTCTGGCCGCCAACTTCTCGCTCCGCTTACCAAAAGGAAGAAACCCAGGAGCACGAAGTCGCAGTGAAGGTCAAAAACTGCCATCCGCCTCGTTGTCAAGGTGGGTACGTGGACTGTGCCGGGCGATCGCTGAGGCGTGTGCGCTTCATCTACATGAAAATGATGAAGAAAAGATGAAGATCAAGGCCATGACATGGGATCAACATTGTCAGAACGGCCATGTACCCTTTCGAAGAGATTGCCGGGTATGCCAGGAACAGAGTGCCAAGTCAAAGCCGCATCGAAAAGTCAAGCATCCTTTGGCTGCCACCTTGTCCTTGGATACTGCTGGTCCTTACCCCAGTGGCTCAGGATGGACGTGATGTCGCAAAGTTCATCATGGTTGGCACGTACACCTGGCTGCTACCAGCTGACTATGAACTCCCCGAAGAGCTGGTCAGTGCCGAAGATGAAGACTGCTCGGAGATTCAGCTCCAAGAAGAAAAGGATGATGAAGTGAATGTGGAAGGTCAAGATGATCTCGATGATCAAGTCGAGCAGGAGGAAGCTCCTGCTGAAGAAAGAGAAGATGGTGAAGAAGGAGAGGAGGACGAAGAGCAGGGAGAGAAGAAAGAGGAGCCTCGCCTGGTCACGTTCCGCCTTGCGATCCCGATGCCGTCCAAAGATCAAAAAATGGTGCTGTCTACCATTCAGCAGATGTACATCCAGCTGAGAGTGATGGGCTACCACGTCGCTCGTCTCCACACTGATCTGGGAGGGGAGTTCAGGGGAAGGTCATTAACCCAGTGGTGTCCCTCTCGAGATATACATCGCACCACGACTGCTGGAGTGTCCTCCCAATCCAATGGACGTGCTGAAAGAGCGATTCAAACTGTCAAGGGACAGATTCGCCGTCTTCTGGGCGTGGCTGGTCTTCCTGCAAGTCGATGGCCGCAAGCATGTCACTATGTTCATGAACGTGAACGTCGAAGAATGGCCGACAAGGAGCTCAACGATGCGCCGCCATTTGGGCATGAGCTGCTGGTCAAAAGAAGGTTCTGGAAAACAAAGGAGCTGTGGTAAAGTATTTGGCTCCGCGACCGGATGCACATGGACACCTCGTACTCCGACAAGATGGT